ATAAAGCTACTCATTCAGAAACTGATTGATTGATTGATTGATTGATTGATTGATTGATTGATTGATTGATTGATTGATTGATTGATTGATTGATTGATTGATTGATTGATTGATTGATTGATTGATTGATTGATTGATTGATTGATTGATTGACATTTTGTTGAAATTTACTTGTTACTTTGGCTCAATTGATTGTATTTATTAAGGTACAGTATTTGACCGTGTTTGTAGGGTTCTAAGAAAGAAGTGGGGCATTGTTACTTAAGTAATACTGGGAACCAAAGTTTAGATATTTTTTATGCTGTATGTGGACAGATAGCAGAAAATGGTTGTAGGGGGTCTCATTCTGGTTTCTTTACATATTATGTTGTTCTTGTTGTTTTTGAGTTACTGGCTTCAGTGGGCACTGGAAAAGTTACCAGTTGAGTATGGAGCAGTCAGGTTAGCTCCTCTAAGGCTAAAGCCATGGTTCTCTACAGAAAAAAGGTTGATTTACCTACATGGATGGATGGATGCATGGACGCATGCATGGATGCATGGAAAGATGGAGGATGAGCAATAGTTATACTGTTTGAGAACCTTTAGAACTAAAATTGAAAATAAAAATTATAATTTTCAGATAAAAAAGTATATCTCTGCTAATGAAATGCGATAATTAATCTATTGCCATACTCAATTACATAATTTTCACTAAAACAAATACCAATGTTTTTTTTTTTGGGGGGGAAAGTAATGAAATCCATCATAGCTGCTTATAAAATCAAAAGTTTTTTTTGCCTTGTTTTTGCTTTTCAATGATGTCAGTGTTGTCTTCCAAACACAGCAGAAAAGATCTTTGCCTAAAGCCTAAACACCCCACACCTACATTTGAGAAAGATCCTCAAGTGGTGTCCTGTGTGGACAAGAGTTGGTTAGATATGATACATGACTCCATGTCTGCAGGTGTATGAATTCAATCATACTTTAACTCTGGTTTTCTGTCTGTCAACTTGAGAAAGGAAAATATCATTAGGCCAAGTTTTCCATGGATAAATGTTGCTATCAAGGGATGTTATAAACCCTTCACATCATCAGAGAGGTATCACTTTGCAGAGCTGAGTATTGCATGTGAAAGGCTACACTTTACCGTAGTGGATCCCAGTGGATATTAACCTAACAGCTAAGGACTCCAGTGGGCACCTTAGCAGATCTTCTTTATTGTGCTCCAAATCAGTGGGTACAAATATGATCCGGTTGATGTGAACCTTTCAATGAAGTTTTGTAGAAAAGGGATGCAGCTTGTCTACACTGCATGCAATTTGCAGATTCTTTACACTGTATTGTGTACGCTGACAGGTTTGTGATTTGTTTGCACTTCACGGGCGTCTAATTGATTAAGATTAAAGGAGAGAACCGTTGGTGTAGCTGTCGGAGGAAACTCCTGCCACTTTTGTGTTTGTACGTGCCCCTTCTTTTTTAAAGTGCGACTACACATCTAACATGAGCCAACATGGGCCACATGCTGGCCTGCATACTGGTTCACATGCACTGCATGACACAGCAGCTGAATAAAGCCATCACTTGCTCACTAAAAAACCGGCCCTGTGGCTTTGCTGTGTGTTCCAAGAGAGCTCTGCCAAACCTTACATCCACACAGGAGTTCCTATTGCACATTTTGTGGACCAATTGTTATTAAAAAATAGATTAAGTGAAGCTTTCCAAAGACTATTTTGCATTTAAAAGTAATATGCAGTAGCAATCATACCACAAATGCTGTTTGATGTAACATTGAATGACAGGATTATATAAAAATCTAAAGAGGTTTACATTTGCGGTGAGAACTTATAATGGAATGAAGGCCCAAAAGATCACTTCTTTTAATTAAACCATTAATATGAAGTGGGTTTTATGACAAAGAGAAAATATTATGGCAAAGTCAAAGAAGTGGTTTTATTTTCCACTGCAGGCTAAAGAAAAATACTACAAAGAAGCAGAACTGAATCCTGTCCTACTCCACTTGCTTTGATAGTGGACCACCATGTTATAAATAATGTATTAAAGGATTTGCAAAGCAGAGAAAGAGAGCTGCTTTCAGGGCAATGAATGTTCCTTCACTTCTGTCATGAGAAAAAAAAAAGTATGTTAACTCTTTGCAGCACAGACTAGAGGTATAAAAGACCTTATATATTTTCTTTTGTATTGTTCAAGTTAAGAGAGTGTTTGGTTTCCTTTTTCACAGTTTTTGATAGCTTATTTTTCTGCCAAAAAAAGGTGTTCATGGCCTACTGGGACCACTTAAAAGTTTATGCAGAGCACTGGCCAAGTTGCACAAAAAAAGGAGCCTTGAAGTATACACACACTGGCCCCTTTCTCAGAACCTCTCAGCTCTGGTTTTGGGGGGAGTGTTGTTGGTTTATGAGAGGGGAAAATAGCCCCAGCCTCCCGTAAAAGTGAAATGGGATTAAGGCCTTTGTTCGGCCCACAATGGTGAGGGGAATTAGCAATAGTTGTAGGCACTTAGAAGAGCTCTCACACTGAAGCTTATCCCAGATTTTGCACAATAATCATTTGAATATCAACAGTGTTTTGCAACTACGGCGCTAATGTATAAACCTCTCTCTTTAGGATACTGAAATCCCCAAAAGAACTTTATAGCAGTGGCTACATCACAAATATGGATGCTCTTATATTGAAAATCATATTTTCAACCCTTTATTGTAGAAAGTAAAGTGTAAAATAGATAAAAAATAAAGTGAAGCATATTCAAGTTTGTGCTTTTAAAACTTTTTCTTTATTATATGAAAACATTATAAAGTATTTTAAGGGACTGAAACAGTTTTGTTTTTTTTCACATCGTATTGTTTTGGTTATTTCTCATAAGGCAACTAAACTTTATAGCGCTTACAGAGCTGGCCCAAGGTTTTATAAGGCCATGGGCAGAAATTTATTCCATGACCAACAGCCCCCCACAGCACACCTCCTTTATATATTGTCCTTTTTTGATTCTTATTGTATTTTTTATTTAGTTCTCCTTTGGGAGTAAACAGCTATTTTAAAACAGAATATAACTGAATTATCATTAATTATTTTGTGCCAGCTATGCATTTTATAACCTGTAGGAAACAATAGGTCCCTTTAGATTATTTAATAAATAAACAACACCTCAATAAATGATCACTATAAAACATTTACTTTGTTTCTCTCTCTGTCTCTCTCTCCCTCTGCAAATATATATATATATATATATATATATATATTTATGTATAGATTCTATGAATCTAAGCTCAGAAGACAGCTGTTCTTTTTTGTTCTGTATGTAAAATGTAAGTGTGAGATATTTCTAGCGGTTGGTAATAAAATTCTCTCCGCTGATATTTCTAAAAGAGTTTTCTTAACTTTTCCGGTTAAATTAAAGAGAAAGGTGCGAAAAGTTAAAATCAATAAAATTGAGTGATTTCATAAGACTATACTGTCCTCCCTATGAATGCATTGTTCGCAACATATAATGTCTGCATTAAAAGTGATAGTTTTCTTCTAATTTGACCAGAAATTGAATGTTGGATTTAGAAACCTGTTCTTTGGATTGAATCTAGATAGTCTGATTTTCCCATTTTTTATCTGAATAATTGAAATCTTTAAGTTTTAGACATGCAGCTATATATAAATAACTGCATTTGTCATCCTGTGTTGTGTAAATTAAAGTCCTTAAAGGGCACCCCAGTCAACCTAGGGTCCCTAGCCGATGTTTAGCCCAATTACACTATGGGCTGCCCCTGAATAAGATATGTAGAGAGACATTAACTGTATTTACTATTATCAACGTTTCCTATTAAGATTATTAAAGCTTATTATATCACTCAACTCTACATAAATGCCAAATAACTTCTTCAATACAGTTTTTTTTTTTTTTTTATCAAATTTGTTAAATTCTAGTCGATGTAAGAACATTGATACTCTTAGACGTGCTTCCTTTTGAGCAATTCCAGACTTATTTGAAGAATCAAAGTCCCGTTTGACTGCTCAGGAATGAGCTGGATCCAACGACACATTGGACTCTCACAGAGGAGAGAAAGTTGAGAGCTTCTGTCTTAGTTGTGTCTCACACGACTAGTCCGTAAAAGAGAGATGGCCTCAGCATTTTTTTGCCCACACACTGAAAACGTATTGTCCAAATCACAAAACATTGAGTGAGATCAGCAGACTTGTCAAGAGGCCCTGGCTTGAATATGAATGATGAGAGAAGAGCAGGGTGGTCCTCATGCTGTTTTGGTGTTAGGCAGGTGAACATAAGCTTAACTGTCTTTGGCAGCTGTCCATCGCCAAATCAGCAGAGTTTACCACTGTAGAAAAGAGAGGGAGAGAAAAACACAGCCATTTAGCACTTTCATGTAAATTAGCTCGAGAAACTGAGAGAAAGCATCTGCAGCCGCTGGTGAAATTCTGAAAATATTTTGTTTTTTTAGTAATTGCTAATTAATAAGTGCTAGTATGGAATCGTGGCTCAGTTTTCCTCAATTTTGTTCAACTTAATCTCTCATGGAGAGTTAAAACTGAAATTTGGGTTTTCAAAGTTTTCTGAGGCAGAAGTAGGCCTATATGTATTTTTTTTCTTGTTTTTTATCTGTCGATCTGCTGAAATTGAGACATCACACCTCCCCTTCTTTCCTGTTCTTAACACATGCACGCACGCTGGCTCAATTCACTCAAGTGTTCGCATAGTTCCTCACATTCAACTGGATACAATGATGCACAAGATGAATAAAGTTATCTCTGCAACTGAAAGGGATGTTGCTGGAGGGAGTGAACGGGGAGGTTCCCCCTGCGCTCCAGATCCTGAAAAGAGCCAGGCTTTGAGGGCCGCTGCAGTAGAGGTCAGGGCCCCAGCTGCTTTTAGGGGTGAAAGGGACACTGGCGGGCTGGACCGATTGTGAGAACAAAAAAAAACAAAGCAATCACGTCAAATAAAGACATCTCAGATTGGACACTGACAGATGCCTTCCCAAAGTCGCAGAACTCACTCGGCTCAAACTTTGTTTGGTTTGTATCACGTTGAACAGTCTGAGTCCCACCTCACATGAGCCTGACATATAAATCTTAGGGTTTGTTGTTTTAATTTCGGAGTCTGAAAGCAGCATTTCTACACAGGTAGGATTTGTTTAAGTTATTTTCTAGTGCAAATATAAAATGAAACACTTAAGATGTTTTTCTTCATTTTTTTTAAAAGGCAGTGCAAATGTTTTAAATGGGTGTTTTTTCAATGCGTCGGATTGTGAAAATGCTTCTTAGATAGAACTTTTAAATCTATAATATGGCTGGTGCTTCAGTTTTCCTTTTTTTTTTTTTTCTAAAAAACAGACATTAAAACCCCTCCCTGTCTCTGAGTTTACAGATTTCACAGAGTGCAGAAATTTGCTCTGGGTTTAAATTTGCAGGGGGTAAGTAGGATAATAATCAGGCCACATTATGAGGAACCGATTGTTCATTTTCTCCATCAGCAGCAGCAGCGAAGCTTTGCCCAGAGATGTGCCGACCTGTGCAGATGGGGTTCAAAGCCAATTTCCATGTTAAAAACTCTGCACGCTTCAGAAATCCTTCCTGACTGACTCTTGTTGATCAGAGTGTGCGACAAGGCTGTCTTTTTAAAGCAACCGGAGGCAGATGTAAGCGTACAAATGTACAACAAACAGCCTAGTTCTGAGTGGAGTAATGGTGTTGTTTTCATGCATGCCCTGAGGCAGTGACATGAAGACAAAAGATGGTTCTGAAGCATGCCGTCAAAATGGGAAATATGGTCCATTACATGTGTCATACAGTAATTACGCAAACTGTTAAAAAAAAAAAAAAGTAGGGCCCTTTTTTATTTTATTTTTTTTTTCAAAATTTTCCTTCATCCAATATGTGTCAAGTGTCATTACAAAGCTTTAATTCTTTTCAGAAAATCAGTTCAGCCATTCATCATCAGCTCACATTTACATTTACTTTCCTTCACAGACTCTCCAAGGAGAAGAAAGAGATCACTGGAGTGGTGGGAATTTGTTTGATTAGTTATGAAATGAACACATTTTTTCTTTTATCATCTCTACCATTTTGTTATGTTGGTCTTTATCTTGCTGTCAATTGCAGCCTGATTTTTCATTTTGTTTTGTTTTGCCTGACACAAACCATTTGCACGAAGATATAAGTTAGGAGCTGAATATAATCTTTACTGGACATATTTTTTAAAAGGGAAAAAAAACAGAAAAGTTATTTTTTTTTTCAGTTCTTTGTTCACTGCTATCACAGGACTCTAATGGTGTCTATGCTATAAGCTTCCAGCCCTCTTCGTTGCCATGCTGGTTATAATATAGCCATTGAAACGCCTGCTTGCTGCAGAGTATTAAGCAATGGCGGAAACACAATCTTTGGTGGGCTCCTAACAATAGATAGGAGGCATGATGACTTATTAAACACAGCCAACCTTGCAGCATGGCTTTTCTCATTATCTTTTTCAATTCCCAGCCTCTAAAGCCTGCGGATCCGGCGACAAAACTCTCCGCCGTGTAATTCTCTTGCAGGCTCCTTTCATCAGCCGATTTCGCAGAGAAATATGAAGCTGATTTTATCGCACTCTATAAATTCACAAAAGGCCCCCTCGAGTTGCCCCCATGGAAGGCATACCTCATCTCAGTGATGTGCCACCACTATTGCTGATCCCAGGCATATGATAAGAGAGTCTCTCCTTTTTTTTTTTATGATTTGACAGACACCAGACATGAGCCTTATAGACATACAATTTTTAATACACCTTTCTTTGCGTGTTTACACCGGGGTGCTTAGATGAAAAGAAAATATAGATTAAAGCTTTCCTTTATTTGATTAGGTGATATATATATATATATATAAACTATTGCAGCTTTCAGATGAAGATTCACATATTATGTTGTAACCAAAACATTTAGCTTTTTTTTTTGTGGAAGTAAAAAAAAAGCTTTATAACACAAAATGTACCGCATTCGATGGGAATATTACAATTAAATTTCTTTCTTTAATAACTTTCCTCAAAAATGTGCTAATCTCAAGAACAATTAAACCCAAATAAATATATTTCCCCTGAGCAATTTAAGTTTTGCAATATTTTCATATGAGCAGGAATTGAGCTTAAACACAATAACAACAATCTCAAGCAAATAAAACAATGTTACTTAAATATCATCAAAAAAAAAAAAAAAATTATTTTCTCTATTTTTACTAACATATTATTTTCTTATCTTTTCAGTAATTCATAAAAAAATATATTTGAATTGAAGGCATTAAACCTTTTTTTCTGCTTTCTGGTCATTTTTTTTTTCTTTTTAGTTTTTTTGTCAAGTGGTACAGTACATTTAACTATTAATCTTTGGCAATTTTTATGTTTGGAGGGTGTCCTTACAATCACCTAATCTTTATTTATCACCACAGATTTTTTATCAGTTCAAAGTTTAGAGCTATAGGTAGGCGACTAAAAAAATTCATGTCAGTTCAAAAACAGCAATATAAAAGATTTTGGTCTTTTCTACATTTTCCACATCATCAATGAAAATGCCTTTCAAGTGTTTTTATGCGTGCTTTTTTTTTTATTGTTTTTTTTTTTGTAATAAGCAATTACCAAAGCCTTTTGTATCATTAAAGATAGCAGACAAAGCATTGAAATCAATGTTTTCTTAAAAGCACCCATTTAACGTTTTTTATTAAAACTAAAAAATGTATTTGATAATACTTACCAGGGAATCTGAGGGACAAGTATTATCATATGATTTTAAATGCAATACTTTTAAATCTTTCATCAGTTTTCCTTACAAGGGTTTTGGCATGTTTTCTGCATCCTGGCATGCAGCAGAGATCGTTGTCTTTGAAATGTTTAGACTGTGGTGTCACTTTTTGAAAAACTTTCATCATGCTTGGGTATCTAATCAATTGAAATAGAGCTGCTTTAGCCTCGAGCTGAAGTGTAACTTTGACCAGCTTTTATAAGCTCAACACTCCTCTCTCTCTCTCTCTTCTTATTATTATATAAAAAAAAATTAAAGTCCTTTCACGGTGAAGATTTTAGTCAGAATGCGATATGCTGCTTCTCCCTCAATTTTGAGCCAAATTTAAAGCAACAGCATTTTAGCCATATGACTATTAACAAAACTACATGCACATATCTCTTAGAATGTTTAAAATGTGGCTGATCAATTTCCCGGTATGAATTAGATTTCCTACATTATAATGTTTAATAATGATACCTTCCAATTATACATTGCTGTTAGCCTTCTGTTAAGTCTTACCAAAAAGTTTAAGCCCTGAACCTGATTCATATTTGCTGTTTTCACCTCCACTGGAGAAAAAATATTATCAGCAATAATCACTGTCATCATTGTGATCCCCTCCGTGGTCTGTTGGCTCCAAATAAGTAATTTAGTTGTAAAGCAGCTTCATATATTTTGCCTGTTCATTTCTTCTTCCTATCATATATCTAAATACAAATCTTTATTTTATAACTGACAGCTTATTACCTCTGAGCACATGCTGATAAATTTAATTCCAATGAGTTAGCCTCCATTTTGCCATCCCATTATCCCCTAATGTGGCAGCAGGCTGTGCAGGGAGAGACAACTATATCATTATTATTATATTAATAGTATTATTTTATTACTAAATATATATTCTTTCTTTTACATTGATTTGTTAGGGAAAAATGTAAAACATTTACAAAAGAGTCTTTTATACAAAATGTTCTCTTTTTTCTTTTTTTTACTTACCTTCTTACTTAATTAGAATCCAATTACAACCAAGTTAAAAGCTTTCTTTTTTTAATGATACATTTTTCTTTTTCCTTTTTTTTTCTTTTTTTTTTTACTTCTAGCCTATTTTAGAGTGGACGTCCCTTTCTGAACACAACCTTTCTAACCAAGCAACCTTCCACCTCAGTTGGGTCTATTTTGGTGAAGCAACTAAAGTAAGTAAACAGTTATTATTAGCTTTGATGTTGGCCTGAATGGCACTCAATTAACAATGTGGCTAATGAGCCCATTAAGGATGAAAGCGTTCTCAACAGGTATGAGAGGATACTGCTGTTTTTGGAGACTTAGTTCTCAGCACTGAATGCAGCATGAATAACGGTGCTCTTTCTCAATTGCTTCAAAGGCCAAAGCTCCACAGCCCAGAGAGCAGAGTTAAATAAAGGTTTGCTTGCAACAAAAAAGAGAAAAAGAAACAAAAAAAACTAATAAATATTTTGCATTTGTTTTACATTTATGAATGTGTAAAAGCAGCCCACTCCATGCAAAGTTAGGTTTGCATGAAGTGGAGATAAAAAAAAAAAACTATCATCTCTCGAGATTTTGAAAGCCAAATATTTTTCTTTCTCTCTCCTAGAGGAGGAACTCCAGTTGTTTATTTTTTAATTTTTGTGCAAAATTTGCTTCTGATTTTTTTTAACAAATGTTGAGTTTTCCTTTCCATCTAAGAATGATTACGATGCAGTGCAAATAAGGCCTGTCTGTGGCAATGAAAGCAAAGTAAAGAAAGAAACCCTTTATTTCTGCAACAGCAGCATTTCCTCTGAGGGACATTCCACTGAAAAACACTAAAAGTCTCCTGTTTGGATGATTTCCATTTTATTTGCTGCTAGATTCCAATAAGATCCTGTTAGCTAGCAACAACATATCAGTGTTTTGTATTGGTGTGTTTTTTAACGTTTCTTATGCACCATAACTATTTCCACTCAGTTAAAGACAAACAAAAATATTGTAATTCTCACTTATCTTCCTTATAAAAACTGCAAAATTGTGCGCTATATAAATATTGTTATATTAAATCATGTTTGCTGAAGGAAAAACTGTCACTATGTTTGGATTCATGCTGTTGAGTAGCAACAATGTTTATGGGCATCTAGGCAGATAACTGAATTATTTCTAAAAGTTAGGAAAAAAAAGGCTAATTTAATTCCTAAACACTTACTTTGCACCAAAATGTTGCACAAAGTAAATATAGGAGGGCAACAAAATAATGTGTCTTTTTGTAAAATCTGCCTGTTTGCTGAAGTTTCCGAATGTTATCAGTAGTTTTAGCTCAAGAATACCTTGAGGTGTTTTTTTTTCTTTCCTTTTCTGCGTAAATCCGTCTAAAGCTGCCAGCGCTGACATACACAGCATATGCTAAATACAGATAAGAGCATTTTT